CAAACATGATTTATAAAAAAAAAAAAAAAAAAAGGACCCTTATTATTTTTACGTTTTACTTTTTTTTTACGGTTTTGTGCTCCAGGCTTACATATATTACTTAATGTATTGATATATTAACTTATATTATATAATATATCATACATAAAATATATTTCCTAAAACCCAGTAAAACAGTAAATAACCCACCCGTAAAACTATCCCTAAAATGAGATATTTCTGCTGATGCTGAAGTGCAGCAGGTGGCGGTATGCACCTATGACGTTGGTTCACAACCCGCCATAAAACCGAAGAAGAAGAAGAAGAAGTGCGGAGAGACCATCTGGCTAAACAGGCTCTGAGACATGCACAAATTGACATTAAAGTGTCAATGAGTAAAGCAGAAGTAAAAGGGTTAATTGCAAATGAAATAAGAAAGAAATGGCAGAAGGAGTGGGATAGTGGAACAAAAGGTAGACACTTTCATCATGTTCAAGAGAAAGTAGGTCAAGAAAGAAGAAAGTTTGGCAACAGGAAAGAAGACGTTTTAATGTCAAGAATGCGTATTGGACATTGTCTGTTAAATCAGTGTCTGTATAGAATGGGGAAGCATGAAACTGGAAAGTGTGACAAATGTGGTCATGCAGAATCAGTAGAACATGTACTTATAGAGTGTGTTGCATATGAAGGAGCAAGATTTCAACTAATTCAAGCTTTAGGATCATTCGGAATAAATAATTTGTCACTTCAGGTTCTGTTAGGAAATAGCCCAAAGCAATCAAGAATATTTCATGAATTAATAATTTTCTTAAAAGAAACAAGACTGATCAATAGAATTTAGGATACAGGTGTAGTAAATAAAGCGGGAATAATTGGCGTTGTATTATAAAAGGAAAAAAGGGAAAAGAAATAAGAAAAAAAAAAAAGAAAAAATATTATATATATATGTTTTTTGTTTTTGTGTGTGTTGTTTTGTTTTTGGCTATAGTTCTCAAACTTCCAATCATTATGCGCTCCACACTCCTATCCAGTAGGTGGCGGGAATGCACCATTTAAGTTGGTTTGCCAACCGCCATTAAATTTAAAAGAAGAAGAAGAAGAAGTGCGGAGCGGCTCCTCCGTGACGTCATCAGCACGCGCCGCTGGGCTTCAGTCTGCTGGCCTCCGGAATGGGCAGATATCACCAGCCCACATTTAACCATTGATTTATTGCGCGAACTCCACCGAGAGTCGGTATTTTTGCACGTCGTCTACACGATGCTATGCGGAGGTGAGTGTTTTCGTCGCGGGCCGGTTGGAGAAGCGGTTGTTAGAGTCTGTGGGAAGAGCGATTAGCCCGTTAGCGGCGCTCCAGTGTAAATACCAGCCTCTCATTTACTCCTGCTTTACTTTCAAACACGCTTTAATTGGCACAATTAGGTTTAACGTACTGAAACGAACGCCCCAAACTTATTTCTACAAACGAAGGGTTATGTTTCCCGTGTGAGGTGTCTGGCTAGCGAGGTTACAGGCTTTAATAGCAGCTGGCTAACGCTCGAGTCCTCATGAAAACATCACTAACGTTAGTGTCTCTGCTTGTGCCACGATTCACTTCAGCGCGATGTCATTACACCCGAAACACCTAAATGTGCTTTAAAACATGTCTCATTAGTGCTTTTTAATGTTTTTCGCTTTTCTGTGTCAGTTTAATAGTGTCAGGGTAAGGGCGAAGTGTCCGTTTCATAGAAACTTTTCATTTTTGCGGGTAATTCAGTGACTTTTGTTTGATTTGTGAAATTGGCTACTAAAACGAGATATTACTGTAGTTATGAATTAGGAAATACATTTTTATACACTTGGCACGTAGTGTCAAAACACGACACGAGGCATTTGCACCTGAAATGTGCAATTTTCACAAATTTTCAATGTTGTGGGGCATTTTGTTACCTTTTATGGGAGAATATTTTGTCTAATCCTATCAAAACAAAGTCTGCCGTGTGTTTATATCAGATACTTTAAATCAAAGCTGCACTAAACCCATAACTAGCTATGCTTAGATTAAAATATACCAAATTTTAGATATGCTTAGATTAAAATATACCACATTTTAGATATGCTTATATTAAAATATACCAAATTTTAGATATGCTTAGATTGAAATATACCACATTTTAGATGTGCTTCGATTGAAATATACCACAGTTTAGAAATGCATAGATTAGAATATACCAAATTTTTGATATGCTTCGATTGAAATATACCACATTTTAGACGTGCTTCGATTGAAATATACCACATTTTTGACGTGCTTCGATTGAAATATACCACATTTTAGACGTGCTTCGATTGAAATATACCACATTTTTGACGTGCTTCGATTGAAATATACCACATTTTAGACGTGCTTCGATTGAAATATACCACATTTTTGACGTGCTTCGATTGAAATATACCACATTTTAGACGTGCTTCGATTGAAATATACCACATTTTAAACAACACACCAGATTAGCTATTTTTAATATGTAGGCCATTGTGGCTCTCAGTTTTGGTTATTTTCTGATCTGGCGAACATGTGGACCCCAGTGTATGAGAATGAGTGTCTGTTTCTTTAAGAGAACATGGACAGAAACGGCGCAGGCTTTTTCTATTCTGCACTTGAATGTGCATTTTCTTTCTCTTTATTGAATTTACTGTGTATAAATCACAGAAGCATCATGGGCACAATACAGTTAGCCTGGAAGAAATGTATTTTGAGTGCTTTATCTTTTAGGCCTAATTCTATTAACTGTTATGGCTGTTGCTGTGCTTGGTTTTTATTGTTTTTTTTTTTTTTCCCCCTGTGAGATAAAAGGTTAAATAATATTATTTTATATAAAATGGTTGTAGTATATTATAGCTGATTTATTTTTTAGGGTAACATTAGTGATTAAAATACAGTTAAGTAGAATATGGTGAATTTTACATTTTGAATGATTATCTGAAAACAGAAGTTTGTAGAAGTTGTATTTTATCTATCTTGTTTTCTTGTTTGTGTTGATATATTTAGGCCAAACTGGAAGGCATGTTTGTGGATTTCCTCGGTAGTTTCCAATGGGTTTTTAGAAAAGTGACTTGATTTGATGAGTAAAAAAGGTCTGTGGTTAACGTTACTCAGACTTCCACATTTTGCTCTATAATATAAATGACACACAGTCATACCACAAAAAATTTTGTCAATATGTTTTTCAACGGAAAAGTTTGACCATTTGTAACCAGCTTCGTAATGTTGTGACGTTAAAAGTTTGTGCCATTTTTGTAAGTTTGTTTTGTTTTTTAAATTGCTATTTAAATGTAATACATTTTTTCTTTCAGTTTTAGTAGTTTTAATACTTCATCGTAAACTTATCTTGTTGTCAAAGCAGCATTTCTAATTTTCTGTTTTATTTTATTTGTTTAATGTAATGTTTATTTTTAATTTGCAAAATAAATAGCAAAATTGGGTTTTAAGTGTATATTGTCCAAATAATCTGAATTGAATCGAACTCTAATAAATCTAAAGGTTTGAGTCAATGCTGATTGTTGTTATCTAACACAGAGGTTTTCAAACTAAAAATTAAACGGCGATATCTGGGTGCAGGTAACAAGGAGAAAGATTAGGCTACACAGTGTTCATTATTCACATATGCTACTGATATTGCAATACAAAGCTGGTTGAAAATTGACAGACTTGTCCTTTAAAAATATGAAATGAACTCAATTGCTATATTATACATATTTTTGTATATTGTTACAATATTGCTACTAATATGGTACTTTTTTACTCTATGTACTCAAAATTAACGAAAAATATTTGAAATGTATAGAAAATAGGGCTGCACGATAAATCGCATGCGATATTTAATGCGCATCTTCTCAGTAAAGCCGGTTCTGTAATCAGCAGTAAATCTCCATCACATGCGTGTTTTCACATGGAGCAGCCCTAAATTAGAAAATGTGCGATATCTGTGTGACAGGGGCAAGGCTTTAATACTTTTATTAAAGTGCCCTTTAATACTGTGAAATGTAATCTAAATTTCTGTATAACTTATTTGAAAATGTGTCCTTTTGCACATTACTTCAAAATTGCTTTAATAAATATGCCACATATTTTGCAGAATATTTACTAAAAATTGATTTAAAAAATTGTAACTATACAGAAAAAGTACAATATCTATGTGACAAGGCTGTCAGCCAATGCGACAATCTCAAAACCTGCTGTTTTATTGGCCTGGCCAATATGTTGAGCACAAGCCTATACATCATTCGTTTAAACATATGGTAACACTTTAGTATAGGGACCAATTCTCACTATTAACTAGTTTCTTATTAGCATGCCTATTACTAACATATTGGCTGTTTATTAGTACTTATAAAGCACATATTCTGCATGACCATATTCTACATCCCTACGCCTACCCAATACCTAAACTTAACAACTACCTTGCTAACTATTAATAAGCAGCAAATTATGAGTTTGAGGCAAAAGTTGTAGTTAATGGCGAGAATTGGACCTTAAAATAAAGTGTGACCAAACATACTTAGTTTATACATGATTTCTTTATGCATTCAGGTAAGGTGATGGAAGAGGCCAGCGGGAGGGTTTCAGAGCTGATTCCAGTGGTGCTATTTCCGCGGCTGCCAGGCTTCGTCCCATCCTCTGTTCAGTAACAGCGCCCATTCTCATCCCAAATCACCATGAAGCCAGTCCACGAGCGCAACCAGGAGTGCCTCCCTCCCAAGAAGCGGGACCTCCCTGTTAACAACAACAACACCTCTACCTACAACAATAACAGCAGTAGCATCAGCGGCAGCATTGGGAGTGCAGGGGGAGGAGGGGAGGATGCCCCATCTTCACAAAGCTCTGGAGTGAGTGGAGAAGGTAGTGGCGAATGGGTGCGAGCCCAGCCGAGCGTGCATTATGGGGTGGAGGGTGCCGAGGGTCTCGTTGGGCTTCCTGTGGATCAGTATAGCATGCTTTATAAAGTAGCTCTGCCCGCTGGCACCTACTCACCCACCAATCTGCACCCCATTCTTAGCCACATTTCTCCTGCCTACACCGTTCCCTCCCAGGTGTTACAGCACACGAGCGTTCCCTACCCTCCGCTCTGCTACGCCCAGATCCCTCACTCCTCGTTGCAGTTTGTTAGCTCTCCCTACGGGGCTGCGGTTCCCTACGCCGTGCCTCCGGGATTCGTTTCCAGCCCTTTGATACCACCTCAGTCCGCTATTTCCCAGCCGCACTCCATTTCCCACCTGGTTCCGTATCAGTCAGTCATTCAGGAAGGAGTTGGCTCTCCGCAGCAGCAGATCTCGACCCATGTATACACCAAAATGGGAGTTCCTCTGGTGCTCCCTTCTGAGCAAACGGCGACACAAGCGCCGCTTGGGACTGTAGGGATGCCGCCTGCCGGGGAGCTCAGCCCGAGAGCTGTGTGCTATCACCCCACCGTTAGGGGCGTCCAACCGCAAAGAGACCTGCACAGCAGCTTCATGGAGCAGGAGAGAGAGGTGAATGGAGGGGACAGAGAGCACGGAGGCAGGGAGAGCCATCAAGATGCAGTTTATTCGGCCAGAAGCGCACGGCTGCTGCAGGCCATTGCGCCTGAGCCCCAGCAAGACAAGAGCTTGAAAAGCCGCAGGCCGGAGGGCAGAATGTCGCCAAGACAGAGCAGCACACCGGACACTGATCTCGAGGTGAGGGAAGGATGGTTTATTATCATAGGCTCACTCAGGGTTTGCTAAAAAAGTGCCTAAATAACTATTTGAAAAGGGGAAGTGATTTCAGAGGAAGAGCAAGTTATTACTGTATCAACAGGAAAGTGCTTTAAGTAAATAGGGTGATGTTTTGATTTCATGTTGACTTAATTTGCCACATCGCATGACTTTTGAGTGCACATTAGAAAAGCTGAAAAGTGTTTAAAAATGATGGGGAAACTTGAATTCAACACTTAAAACAGTAGTGAAAATGTTGATCTGGGAGTTTTTCTGATGTTATTAATTTTGCATCACAAATTTTTGTCTAATCCATGTATCGGAATCAAATCTTTGTCTGATCCTTATATATAAATGAGGAGAGCCCAATTATACAAATAACAAAACGTTTAAAATTTAAATTGCTGTTTTTAAATGATGAATTATTTTAGAATTAATGTGTTTGCTGGCTACCATGAAAAATCTTATAATGTTGTTTATTTTCTTGTTTAAATCAGATTTTCTGGATTTTGGACCTGACTGTGCCAGTGTTATTTTAGCATTATTATAAACTATTATATTTCTTTGAAATATGTTGAATTAGCCTTTATTTTTATATTAAATTTTAGCTCAAGTAGGCCTAATTTATTTTCTTATTTGCTTTTGTCATTTTTATTGGTTTGTCTTTTTAATACTTCTATTTAGTGTTACGTTATTTTTAGTTCGGTTTTTGTTTTATTTATTCAATTTGAGCTCTCCATCTTAAACTTGATTTCAAGGCAACATTTCTAATTTTCGTTTAGGTTTTATGGGTTTTTTTTTTTTCTAAAATTTATATTTTACTTTATTTCAGTTTTATTTCAATTACTGACTTTTTAGTTAATAGTAACAACACTGCACTGGATCTGGATCATATATTATTACTGTGAATGTCTCCTACTTCATCACTACTTAATGCATTTTCAGAATTTTGCCTTTTTTGAGGCAATTCTTGTGAGTCAGCACCAGTTACACCACTTCCTTCCTTTATTAGCTGTTCTTTGGGTGTGTTAAGGATTGAGTAACTCAGGTTACTACTTCGTAGAAACAACAGAGATTGTTTTTTGATTTATATACAAATGGAGTCCAGTCACTTTCCAGCTTGTGCTGCTTTCCAAAAAGCAATTCCCATCCTAATTCTTAAATAAAATGACACTTTAAATGTGGTTCCTTTTCAGGTCCAGCAGGTGGTCGGACGATTTGCCTCTCCTGTCCATGGCACGAGTCGCAAGGAAGCAGCGCATGTCCCTCTGAACCTGTCTCAAAGCTCTCAGAGGGGTCGAGAGTCTCAGGGCGAAGTCAGAACACCTTATGCATCAAATCCAGCTGAATCTAGAGCACATCAGCAGCAGATTGTTCAACAAAGCCATGCCGTTATCCTGGCCAATGGGCAGCCTGTTCTTGTGCCTCTCGACTACCATCACCACCAACAGCAGCAGCAGCATTTCCAACCCAACGATGTGGCCTCGGCAGCAATCGCTGCTTCTCCCGCTGCATATACTAAAGCCATGGATGCAGGAGCATGTCTACCAGAGCGGGCGGTGGTGGAGCTGCCTTCCCAACAGGGGCAACAGCCCTCCCAGCAGCCTCCTGGTACTTTCCCACAGGCTCCTCTGCTGGCACCCTCCGGCCCGTCGCACTTCATGAAGGGCGCCATCATCCAGTTGGCTACCGGAGAGCTCAAGCGCGTAGAAGATCTGCAGACTCAGGACTTCGTGCGGAGCGCAGAAGTGAGCGGCGGGCTGAAGATCGACTCAAGCATGGTAGTAGACATCCGCACTAGTCAACAGCGGCCCGGTCTAGTGGCGCTGCATTTCAACGTGGGGGAGCAGCAGAGCAAAGTGACTATAGATGTTCCCCCCGAACACCCGTTTTTCGTTTTTGGCCAGGGCTGGTCGTCTTGTAGCCCTGAGCGGACTGCCCAACTGTACGGTCTCACCTGCCAACATCTGCAAGTGGGCGATGTCTGCGTGTCCGTGACACTGCAGCAGCAAGCTGCATCGCAGCAGAAACCGCCCCAGCAAGTTCAGGCCCGGACTCCCACCAAAGTCAGCTCCACGTCAGGAGCCCCACTTCAGCCCATGGGCCCCCCTGCGCCCCAGCACACCCCTCGGCCACAAAGCCAATTAAAAATGGAGCGCATCCACCGAGAGAGGGACCGGGACAAGGAGGAGCCCATGCAGGTATTGGGTTCGAGACATGTCGACGTGCCCCCAAGACCGAACAGGACTTCAGCAGAGCACACTCGGAGCCAGAGCAACTACTATTTGCACACTGAAGGTCATGCTCCACTGGGAACCGGAGCGGGAGCCTCTTCCGTAGGGGCATCCCTGAGGCGCTGGTCTGCCTCTGGCTTCCAAAGATACAGCATCAAGAACGAGGATGGAGGGAGTTTAGCATCAGCTGCCACCTCTGGCTCCTCTCGGCCGTCGTTTATCCCTCAGGAGGTCAAGCTTTCCATCGAGGGGCGCTCGAATGCCGGGAAGTAGCAGACAAAAGAGATTGTCCATGGGATCGAAGTGTCAGTCGGGCGAACGGATGCGAAAGAGGGAGCGTGGTCGGAGGGAGAGAGAATGTAGCCTCAGAATGTTTGAGATTTTGCACATATTGGAAGATTCCCTCTGCCGCCCCCTTCTTCGGTTCTGGTCTCGAGCAGAGGACTTTTGTGTCAGGTCATAGTCAGCATTCGCAATGATCTGCATGGGCAGCTTTATCTGGTTAATCACGTACCAAAGCCTGCGTCGTCTGCGTGTTCCTGTGGGTGAACTATCATGTTTGGCAGTGATCACTTGCGCAAAGATATCTTGCAGTTCCTCGAGTAGATGTTTATTTCAGAAAGGCCAGGGATAAGAATGGGATACAGCCATAAAGTCTTGACAAGCCTTTACAATAAGAATAAATATATATTTTAAAGAAGGACAAAAGAGGATAGATTGCTCAACAACTTTTTTCCCCTAAAAGACAGGCTCTTTCTCTCTAAACGTTGACTGTTTCTCTTGTTGCGCCGCCAGGCTTTTGTTGGCTAAGACCTTAAAACTTGGACTGTTTTTAATGCGTGTCTCTCTAGAGGTGTGCTTGTCCTCACTTTCCTACACTCTCCTCCTCTCCCTGCCTCTTCTCAGGGTGCTTCTGCTGAGGAATCCTTTCTAGTCTGGAGTTTGAGAACAGTTGCCCAGCGCCGTCACATCAGTCAATTGATCCAACAATCTTTCTGCAATCAGGAACTATTTCCAGATAAAGTCTAGCATGCATCTTAACAGTTGCATTAACAACTCCTCAGAGGTTTTTAGTTTTGATTCAGCAGTGGTTCTGAATCTGCATTCCAGTTTCAATGAGATCTCTCCTCCTCGACCCATTGGAGTTATCATTTCCCAGTAAGGCCGGCCTAGGAAAACCACCTCTAAATAGTACCTCATGGTTGGAAGCATCCTTCAGTCTGATTATTAACTATTTTTATTTAATCTTACATTGTTGTGCCCTTTTCCTGGAGACAACATGTGGTGTCAGCCAAAATCAGCCCTGCTTGCGAAGCTGAGACCAAATGCAGAACAGGTTCTAGCTGTTTGCGAACGGCCTGTTCCTGTGGAAACGGATTATTGCTCTGAAGCATGCAGGAAGCGTTTAGCACACACAAATGTAGAGTCACTGCTGTTGGGTGTGAACTGACCCTGCTCAGTTATCAAAATCAAAGCAATAGTTGTGTCAGAACACATTTTTCTTGTTTTCTTGTTTTCTTTTTTTTAATCCCGTACAAGACAGATTACTCCTTGTATTTCAATTTTTCTATGTGCAACAGTTGCAGTCTGTATGTAGAAACGTTTTTAACCTTATCCTACGCTTCTCTTGATTTTCTAAGATGATGCAGTTTTACTTTGTGATAATCCTCATTCTAACAGTTACTACAGGAGTTAATTTAAAGGATGCAATTACCCTTAAAACAACACCTCTTTCATTTAGGTAGGTTTTCTTTCTGACTTCAGTGATGACTAATATGAAGGCACACCTCGAAATGGGGCTTTTCTAAAACACCCACTGATTAGGATGTTCAGAATCAGCTCTTGTACTTTATAGAGAGATCTTAGCCCCTTACATTGTGTCCTAACCAGGTATAACACAATAAGACAAGCGATAAAAGTCATGCTTGAGTTGCAGTGTTGCAGTCGCGTCTGCAAAAAGCACTAAGCAACAGGACGCTTAGTCTTTCATATTTGTTGGTTTTTATTTTTGTGGTATTGTGCTCGGTAGCTCCGCCCAGTGTTAAAACCCAATGGTCCAAATTCGTTCCATAGGTTTTGACAGGCTGTGATTTTGTCGCAGGCATGTTTGGATGGACAAATTCACTGGAAACTTGTCACATCATACCTGGTTAGGACCAGTGTTGAACTGAAAACTTATCTCGAAACAGCTCTTCTCTGGAACGAGCCTCATTAATATACACTTTCTAATCTGTGCTGAGGTTTCTTCTTTGGTTTTTGTAATTGGTGAAATCTTGTACAGTATTGCGTTCTGTCTCTCTTCTTGGCAATATTACCCACGAGTGATTTTTTTTTTACTTGTACTGCAGGTCTTGTATTGCACAGATAAGTTCAATTGATTCACGCTGACTCTTTAATGGGAATCAGATATGTGTTTTATTGTTTTTGTATTTTAATAATGAAGGGAAAATGTTTGTGTTGTTTTGAAGTATTCAGTTTTGTTGGTGGTTTTTGGCTCATGAGAAACTGACAAGCAAGGTTGACACTGTTTACAGATTAGCCAAGCGAAAATGCTGCAGTTTCACTTTTCATAGTTACTGAACATTTTCAGATGGATGAAATCATGACTTAAGTGCAATTAGACCAAATATTATAAACATTAGGAAGCTCATGTTTTATTTCAAAACAGCATTCCAGAAAGAGCCTGACATTCCCACTTTCTTTTTTTTTATAGTTTCTCTTTTTCCCTCTCAATATTTTGATGCCACTTACATATTTGTCAGATGCAAATTTTTATTTCCATTTCGGCCCAAGTTCTTTCATGAGACCTTTGATATTTCTCTGCGTTGTTGGTTCTTGGCATTGCTGGGCTGTCTGTGTTTGGACCAGGATTTAATTGAACTCTTTTGGCCTCTTACAATCACTCAAGGCTTTAAGAGAAGATTTTTTTTGTTCTTTTAGGTAAAAAATAATATTTTTTTGATATAAATGTAGCGTTAGCATTGAACCAGTTAGATTTCGACTTCCTCCAAACTGCATCGACCTCAACGATACCACATGTCTGTGAAGTTCTTAGACCTCTAATGTTAAAGAGAAGAAGTTCGGAAGGGGTATAAACAAGGGTCGTCACTTGAATTCACAGGACTCGTGACAAATTATGAGGGTGCGTCCCCGTTGATGACGACCCTGGTATAAAGCCACCTGGTTTTTCAGCATTACCAACAAGTCTGATTTAAACTAAATGAAGACGTGGCAATGTGTGTATCGAGTATAACAGTATTTGGTTTTGATCACCTTAAATTGGTTCAAATCCATTTGTTGTTTCCATTTATGAAGCATTTCACAAGCATCATCTGTTAGTATTTTGTTTGAAGACATCCTGTTCCTTCTTAAAAGGAGTCCCACTTTCATGCTATTTATAATCTGGTCTCAAATCTAGTTAATGTTATTTCTTCCTTCCTCTGTCCCAGAACGTTATGGTGGCACTTTGGATCCCTTTAAGTTCACAGAGGACGTTTTGTTATAGTTCACGTTCAACCTGGTGTGAACTGTCTAAAAGGGCCACAATTGTCACCTAAACCCTTGTAGACAAATTGAATATCTTTCCAACCAGGAAAAACAGCTTAAACTGGCCTGATCTGGTCTTCTGGGCTCAAGCCAGTTGGTCTGCCAGCTTGAGAGGCCAGCTTCAGCTGGTTTAAGTTATTACATTGTTCCTTCACAGACAGGGAAAAATGATTTGTATAAAGGCATTGTTATTCAAAATTCAGACCTGCTCCATTATTTTAAGTATTAGAATTGAATTGAAGCAATACTTGACCCAAAATAGCAGAACGATACAGCTTTAGCATGAGCTATGCAGTAGAGACTCAGTCAGCACCCTAATGCAGTTTCAATACTCAGATCTCACCAGAAGTCAGCTGCACGTCCAATATCGCTGCACATTCTGTGTTTTTCTAGAAACCCACAGGCTCTGTGACCTTTATGATAGTGGTTAGTTATCTCACTACCAAGTCACGTAACCCGAAGCTTATCTGGTGTCGCTTGTTTGGTGCTGTATGTTTTTTTTGTTTGTTTTTTTTTGTATTTGTCAGCAATGGTGCACTGTTCTCGGTCTTCTCAAATGCACTGCCTTACCAGCCGTCTCTTGTCGAGATGAAATCTCCAATCTGCAACCTTCGAGGCGGAGATGGACGGAGTACGCTTTCATTAAGAACTGCGCTACTATCATGTGCACTGTAAACAAGGAGAGTTGATGCTATGTTTGTGCCTTCCCAATGTCTTAACTTTACTCTGGTCTGTCTTATTAAGCTTTGTTCTCTGGGAGATTTGTGTGTCTCCATTTTGCTCTTAATGTCATCACATCATATATATCTTGCAGGCTTGAAAACCCTACTGTGCTGTTGAGGGCCATTTTGATCTAAACATCAGCGAGAAACTTCATGGCATCATAAATACTAGAATTAGAGATATTACAATAGAAATTTAGTAGTAGAGTGCTGCAGTGATTATTTATTTTTGAAGGCCAACCTGAAAGTTCATCACCTTGGTTCCCTCAACAAAAACCCAATAAGATTATTCCATTGGATTTTGGTTTATTGCAGAAAATATGCTCTGTGACCAATAAACGTTTATGAATCTTACATGTTTTGTTCATCATAAGTTTCACAAATGAACACAACTTTAATTAATTTTGAAGCCTAAATCCAATTGCCAGAAGTATAAAGGTAAACGTAGGCTATAAGCTGACTACAGTAGTCGCATGACTTCAACATCACCACCATTAAGCTTCAACATTTTGAAAACATTTTCCTGGAAAGTTTGAGTTAGAATAGTTTACAAGAGCTCAATTATAAACACACTGAGGCTGTAAAAGCGACTAATGAGTAGATGAGTTTACTTGTTTGGCGTGATTATATTTAATTTCCGAAAAACCACTGTAGTCCCATTTAGATACTTGTTAACATCTGCCTTTTTCAAGACAAGTAAAAGCTTAAAAAAAAAAAAAAAGTTACTGATTTGTGTCTCATAGAATAAAACGTGAACATATCTTGAGCTTGTGTTCACCACAGACCCTTATTTCAGGCATTTAACCAAAAACACATTAAAAAAAACCCATTGACTTCAGGACGACGTAACCAGCATTTTTAGGTTTTGGCCTACAGAATTGCGTCATCCCTGCAGCACTTTGTAGTTTGGTTAATGACGTAAGATCAGTTTTGGGGGGAAATGTGTAAAAGTGACTCTCAAGCTGTGATTTTTATCATTCAGGGTTAATTTTATGTTGTATTTTCAATGGTAACAGCACAGAAGGGTTTAGCACAAGCTACATTCCTATAGATAGTACGTGTCTGCATTTCCTTCCCTCTACGGATGTGTGAAAATTAATCAAATCATGTCCTTACCTCACCTTTGCGTAAATGTCAAATACAGAGTCCCTTTTGAAAGCATTTAATCTCCCTTTAATGATTAGGGCATCTGCATACTAGATAAACACAGGGTTTCATGGTTGGAAAGCATTTTGAATGTGGAAGAGTCGGATAAGTTGAAATAAAGTGGGAATTTATTTTCCAAAAAGCACAACCAGACCAGCCTGCAAACGAGTGTATTGCAGTTCAAATTCAGGTTTTGGTCACATGGCAGGTCGCTGCTTTCATTACACTTGAATGATGTGATGAATTTCACGTTCCCCATTGAAATCAAAGGATATTTCTAGAGGATATCTGGTGTGCAGACAGACGCCCTATTCTTTTTTGCAGTTAGGGAATCCCATGTTGTTCTTCCATAGAGCCTCACCTAACCATGTAACATAGACGTTTGTCACTTTGATGCAATGAAATGTTCGGCACTTATTTCCCCTCACCTGTAGTGTTACGGTAAATGTTTTGCCATCATTTGAAACCACGTAAAACAATCATCCAACATTTGTATGCTTGTACAGATATGAAGATAAGTTTTGTATAGTATTAGCTTGTCAATAACGCCTTAAGATGTGCACCGTTCGTAAACGCTGTGTAGAAGTGACTCCCCGCTCTGCAAGGTCGCACGATTTCACATGGAGACGAAGTCTCTAGTTGTTGTGACCGTGGACTCCTCTGTAAAGGTGGCTTGGGTTGCTCACTGTCACTGACAACAATTAGTGACATGATTGTAAGACGATATTTTGGGACTAGCTCATAATGTGTATCTTTGTTGAACACAATGTTGGCTTTACATAACTTTCTAAATCTTTAATGTTGTATTTATATTTTGCTCTTGTTAGTAGGGCAGAAGTAAAGACTGATGCTTTGCACTGTTGACATCCCTGATTCTAGCTCGGAAACATCTTCCTTCACTTCCTCAGTGCTCGTGATGTACGAATCTCACAAAACCCAGTGTTGGGAGGGTTACTTTGGAAATGTAATAGGTTACCGATTACAAGTTACCCTATTTAACATGTAATAAGTAGTGTAACGATTTCAATGACTTTATTAATGTAACTTGATTGCTTTTTGATTAGGCTGCTTCTCTAAATTTCTAAGGAATGTTTTCAACTGTTAATCAGTTCATCAACTCTCAGACAGGTTGTAGTCTACAGCTTTCAGTGGCAATGTGGATTGATGTAATTGGCAGACTCTCCAAATTCAAACATGAGAACCAATCGAAAGCATTAGAATAGCATCGCTTTACTAAACGGCCTATAAATGGCAGGAGGCATCGTGCAAAGCGTCGGCGCCAATAGCCTTTTGGGCAGTGTGCCGACGTATGCTATACTGTTCTATCAAAATAAAAATGCCAAAAATAAAAATCTAAAAAAAAAAAAAAACAGGCAAAGCAACAAATTAATATTATGTAACATCCTAGCTTTTACTGATAATATTCAGATGTAGCCCCCTTTGTAGTCGTTAACATTTTCTTAAGTAACTAATTTAATTACATGCTTTTTTTTCCCCCCTCAGTAACTAATGGATTACAGTTACTTTTATTTTGTAATCTAAATTACTTAACGCCGTTACATGTACCTAGTTACTCCCCAACACTGACAAAACCATATTTTGCCCCAAACTCAAATGGCCTCGAAATTTTGTATTTGAAATATTACAGAGATATTTCTTTTCTTAATCAGCATTACTATTGATATAAAATGGATGTTGTATGCTTTAAAAAAGAAAAACAAACAAACGACCAGCTCTTTATCACAGGAACTTGCTTTTTTTTTCATTAAAGTGGTTTGAGGAAGTGAGTGAAAGCTACATTTATTGGAGTCTTTGTTAGAAGATGCTGCGTATAAAGCAAGATTATCTGCAGTTATTGATATAGTTTTGGCTGAGAGTCCTGGGACATATTTTACAGAAGTCCATTTAGTCTCGCTGTTGACTGTCGGCGCGAATGGCGAGTTTTGAGCTGACATGTCATAGTTTGTGAAGTGTGAGAACGACTGAACCCACTTGAGGATAACCGTCTGGGTTATGGATGAATGTGCAGCTCAGTAACATTTCAGTGCGTTATAGTGGTATCATTGCTTACAATTGATTTTTTTTTTTTTTTAATGTATGTATTGTTTTGGAAGGCTTTATGAAGCCAACACATGGCGGTTTGTGTAAATCCCAGACAGAATTCGGTGGCACGGCAGGCCAGAGTCAGTAATGTCGGCTGAAATCAGGTTTCTAACGGTTTCAAGGTTTTAAAGGAGTCATTATACTCTCGAATTTGACATTGTACTTCTTGGCACTAAGTGACACTGCTTTTTATGTGATGTGTGACCAGTTTTAAAAGAAATGGCATCTTTGTTTAATGCATAAAATCTGCGAAATATATGCAATGATGTATGTGTAATATTCAATCCTCAAGTATAATCCAGGTTGTATAAACTTTGTATAGTACATTTTAATATCGTATGGCCGTACCAATATGTATTAATTCTTCTCAGAAGCCTTAGAGTCGTCTACCCAAAGTGCTCCCTTAGACTACCCTACACCTACCTGAACTTTACAAAGCATTAATAACTATATTTTGTTGCGTTTTTATTTGTACCCTTTTTTGAATAAAATAGATTTGTACTGTATATTTGTACCTCTCTGTGAACTACTTAGGGCTGTTTTGTTTTATGTTTTCCTGTTTTAATTCTCTGTAATGACACAAAGATATTGTATTTTTATTGTTACAGCTAACTTCTTGGAAACATTGCATTTATCATGTTTGTTAAGTAAACACAATATAATATATATCTATATAATATTAACATGCTGGCTTGACGTCTATTTTTTCATATGCGTTCTATTCAATTAGTAATTGTAATAAATTCTAAATAGAGTTGTAATAGTGCATCGACGCACCTGAAGAATACAATGCAGAGTTTAATATTAGATTATGATTACAATAATACCCGATGTATTATGCATTCATTTTTTTTCTTTTTTTGAAATACAACCCTTGAGTCTTTGAATATACAACTTTGTGTATTATTTTATTTTATTTTTTAATATTCCACAAGGGGTTAAATTATTTTTCAGCATGCTTTTGAAAATATTTAAGATAAATTAATCAAAATGTATTATGACCAAATTTCAGATGAAATGCATTATATCAACTACAGTGCATCTTTTTATTACAGTGGGGCCTGAAAGTCTGAGACAATTTGTAAAAAAAAAAAAAATGTTACAAATAATATTATCAGCATGACAATTTTTGAATACCAGATTTTCAGTGTGGTCTCAGATGTTTTAATCTCACTTTACAGATGTGTATACATTTTTTCAAGAGAGAAAGACAGAAACCGACTCGTAGCCGTAAAGTCAATGTTTATTCCACATTCTGTTCCTGCTTTTATGATGAGCTTTCAATCTGTTAACCCAATAACAGAGCATGGCTTTCTGAACAGGACCATTTGGCATTGTGACCTTGTCACTTTTATTAAGTTTCATTCATTTTGGCCGTTTAGATTTGTAAACATTATCATGAAAAAATCTAGATAGACTGACAAGAAGGCAAGTCATTACTGAACTCCAATCCTTAATGAAAAGCTTGTATAAATGCATTTAGAACATGTAGTTTATAACATGCAAGTTCCATTTCCAGGGGTTTACTGACTTATATACACAGACATGTAAAAGAAAATGGTTGTTTAATACATAACATGTCACATGGCAATGCATACCACTAAAAATACTAGTTTGGGAATAATGCAGACTAAATAGGGTTAATGTTTGAAAATACTCTTTTATATTTTATCTTCAAAATAGACAATGCATCCTGCCAACATCTCGTTCTGGAATATAGAGAATCATTTGATTTTTTTTCATTGCATCAGGATGGGTTTCCACATCTTTGATGCTACTGTATGAAATAACTCAGTGCTTTATAATGAATTTCAGGGAATTGGGTCATAAAAATTGCATTGTTCTTCCTGAATGTGCATACATCAACATCAACTCTGTCCTTATCAATGGAGTAACTGAAAACAAAACTTAAGGATGGATCTGGTGGTCGAGGGTTACAGGCTTGAGGACCAATGGCTTGACTGTCAAGAGTTGCCTGAGGTTTGTGATCTGGAGCATTTGAGTCCATTTACTTTCATATCAACTGCATAGTAGTAATACAACGTTTCTTGAGTACAGCTCTCAATTGCATAGTGATGCTTCATCACATGTACATTAAATCCTTTCTTTTACTTAAGGAGCCCATCATTAATACTTCACGACAGCATAAACGTGGGACCAGTATCCAGTTGCCTTCAACTGTGCGGGAAAGCTCCACTGCTTCGCTTTGAGTATTAGAGGTATCTCTAAAGAAGGTAATGACAACATTGTGAATTTAAAACACTGAAATGTGCGTCATTCAGTGAAGTAATAAATAAATTGTAATAAGTATTGGAATGAAATATAAGACATACATATCTCACACACACAGTCTACCCTGTTTCCAAGAGGTACTTACAGATGTACAGTGGTCCGTTTTAACATGACTAACCCTTTCGCCCAATATGAAACACTGAGAAGTGAGTAAAGTTTCAAGGTGATGTGTGCAATGTTCTCTCAACTTGTAGAGTGGTTCTGAAACTGTTGTCTGCGAGTTTAGTCAATAAAAAAGACTTGAATAAATAAAAGCACCAACATTGAATTAACCAACATAACAATGAATTGACACTCATTTTATGCTTAAGTGTCTGTTGTCAAGTGTACGTAAACATTTGGTCCAATTTCTTAGCTAGCAAACAGTTGGCTCATCAGTTTATTAGCTAAAAGAAACGTTAATTTCTATACAAAGGAACAAAACAGCCTTCTGGAAAATTTACTGTGGCTCATGATAGAATTGGTGAAAAGGGCATTGAATGACACCCCTGAATGAGATTTGGTGGTCTGCTTTTGTTGTTTTACTCTTGAAGTGGTTAACCCAAAAAGTTTAAGAACCACTACCATAAACACTGCGGTGTTTTGCTTTGTATGTTGGGCGTTCCAACATGTCAACTTCTGAATTGGTTAGAATTTTTGGTGGGGGTACCTGTTTGGTGAATAATGGAAGACAGGGGGCAGTGTTTGGGATGCAAGTGTTATTTTGGCCATCAGATGTTGAGCAGAAATTACACACTTCACCTTTAAATTAGTGTGAAACGTTGGCGAATGTGTCTTTACCTTGTCATTTAAATGTTTACATACATATACAGAGTCATCACTGCTTCATATAGGAGGGATTTCTCTCTGGAAGTGTTCATCCTGATTGTTTCATTGTACATGCATTCGCTAAACCTTTACATCATTGCACATCTCATAGAATTAGCACACAAATTCATTTAAATCATTAAATATAAAACCAAAGCACAACTTTCCAGTGACAAAGGCAACAGTTTGAATTTGTACACTACTTATGTTGCCACAGAGATCGAGCACACACTAAGTGCCTCACCATTAACAACAAGCATTCCCAGGTCCAGTGCGGGACCACACTGGTTTAAAGAGGTAACATACACGTTATACAGTACAGTGACAGCAGCAGAGGGCAGAGACTGGTTGGTTAGTTGAGACGTCATGGAGTTGCGTAATATCCATATCGACATTTTGGCTCAGGTGAGGAGTTTGCAGTCTGAACAAGAGGAAAAAAAGGCCAATGTGACCAGTAAAGGTGAGTAAAAGGTAGTATATGATCTGAGCAAGTGGTGATGATAATGAAGAATGAAGAAGAGGAGGTCTCCTGCTCCTCTGTTTTCTCAGGAGGATGCCGGTGATCCACACCATCCCTGAGTTCCTAGACAAATATGAACCCGTGTAGCATTGTGATAAAGTATAAAGCCTTTGGGAGGTCAGAGAAGTGTGTCTGAATGTGCTTTGAAACGGATACTTTTAGTATTTAACAGTACATCTGCAGAAATGACCTTCCTCTTTTAAAAAAGGACAAAGTCTCCAATAGAGGCCTTGTCCCAAATGGCACCCTCGGCCCTTGAAGTCTTTCGTGGAGTCCACACTTAAGTGATAAAATGCCACACAGACTGTCAGTTAGTTGTCCGTTTCCAAAGTCTGCACCAGGTTGGGCTCAACTAAAGGGTGCATTGAGGGACACAGTGGCTGCAAAGGTGGTATCCTTGTAAATCTTGACAAGTAGGACACCTTATGGTCTGTATAAGCAAAGACCACAAGCCCACTTAGATTTCAGCATTTGGGTCAGCGGCTCTCAAACAGCATTTAAATAAAGTGTAGTTGTTTCAGCGAACATGTAGGGCAATGATTATACCAGGGGTGTCCAATCCTGCTCTAGGACGGCCAACATCATGGAGAGTTTATCTCCAATCTACTCCAACACACCTGCCTGGGGGTTTCAAGTAACCCTGAATACCTTGATCAGATGGTTCAGGGGTGAACTCTGGAGGATGAACCCTCCAAAAGCAGGACTAGAGGACTACACCCCTGAACAAGAGTGTGTGTTGGCATAGGGAACATTGAGTCGGTATGTGGACCTGCACAACCCCTGTGGTTCTGGTCGAGGCCACAGGTGTGACTAGGCCATGTAAGGATCCCATGGTGAGGTAGTTGGTTCTGTGAGTATGAGCTAGTATTGACCCAATCTTGGGTTCTGGGAGGTGAGCCATAGTTGCAGGTAAACTCCAACCTTTCAGACTGGCAAATTTGAACAGTAGGCTGAGTGTGGAGTGTGGCTACACGTCTCACTCCTGTCACTGTAAGTCCGTGTGCAAACAGAGAGCCTTCTTCTGGAAGGATCTCACTGCTCTGAAGAAAGACGGCTAAAAGTCTGAGCCTTGAAAACAAAGTAAAACATGCTTACTGAGAGGGTTTGCCCTTCAGTGAATGTCGGAATTTCTTATAGAAGTTCAGTTAATTATGTAATATGTTACAGAAATCCATAAAGGGTTGTTCACACTGACAGCAATTAAATCACTGGAGCTTGGCAAGTCGGCGTGGTCTTGGTCGCTAGTAGGTGTTCCTACTTGACTGATAATGATTGTGGGACTCTGGTGCCGCAGGCTCCTATTTTCTCTTCTGACTACCAGATGGGAACATTATCTGCATGATGCCTACTCTTCATTTGATTTTTCACTGAGATTGTAGTTAATGAGATGAGGCCCCCTAGAGGGGCTCTTTGCCAAGCTTTATTTTTCAGGTTTATTTCTTCTTGCTGTTGACTACTCGAATCCGCCACCCTTAGGGGTCCAAAGCAAGTGCCTTGTCTATCCTGTAGAATCACTTCTGTACTCAACTACAATATCCAAGTGTATCAGGCAGCAGAACATGTGCATTGCAACTCACAGTCTTTCGTGTTGCCTCAAATCTGTCTTTGAAAGTGAAAGACATCTGGTGCCTACGTCACTGCAAATCGCTGTCAGGGTGAGCACCTCCTTGAAACTGCAAGACCATAACCTTCTCATCACAACTTTGGTCAAGATGGTTATTCTTTAAGAATGGCAAATTCTTCTCAAATGTTGGGCTGAGAGGTGTTTGGAGCTGTGCTTGTTAGGGAAGCTTCATAAACAGTCCATTGTCCATGGAAGGGACGGACATGGGAAAGGAAAACTGGAATAGACTCATATCAGCAGTGAGCGCAGCCATCGCAGCAGGGTCATGCTCGATCTGGTTTCTCAGCGATGGGTCGATCTTCTCCAAGCGTCGTTTTAGCCTCTTGGCCTCCCTCTCACGGATTAGTCTTGCCTGCCTCTTCTCGGGCGTCTCGTTGGCCCGCTTGAGTCGCATGGCCTCCCGGTCTCGCTGCAGACGACGTGCCCGCTGTTCGTCCGTCTCCTGCATCCTTTGCATACGCTTTGCCTCACGGTCTCGTAAGCGGCGTATCTCCCGCTCCTCTGATGTCTCACATGCCCGCTTTGTCTTCTTGGCCGTTCGTTCCCGTTCAAGCCGATGCATCCGCACCTGTACGGGTTCGTTCTTCCTACGGGCCGCCCATTTCCGCATGGACGGTGACTGGGCGTCCACAAGCTGCTGGTAGGCTACGCAGCTGTTGCAGACCAACAAAACCCCAGCCGGGTACACGGGCATAGGGTTCATAAGGTCTGGAAGAGGCGGAAGTCCCGTGCTTTGAGGACTGAGGCTGTCAGAGAGTGAGGGAAGAGGAGGTGCAGAAGGGAGAAGACCATCTGGCAATGAGGTCAGTCCAGGACAAGGATTTGTGTTGGGGTTAGTCATAGTGCTTCTGGTTAAAGAGTTGGACATGTCACAGGCCTCGCCCTCACTGTTGATCTCTATACTGCTTGTGTCGAGGAACTCCTTCAACTTTTCCCTACAATTTCAGACCAGGAAACCGTTAGAAATGACAATGAAGCACAGCATCCTAGTAAAATCATGTCTTGAGTAAAGAACTGACCTGTTGAAGTTGTTGGTGTCTGTGAAGTGAGCCCCACATACAGCACAGTTGGACAGTCGGTCCTCTGAATGGATGAGAAGATGGCGACCAAGAGAGCCTGGAGAACTGAGAGCTCTTCCACAAACAGGACAGATATAACTCTTACTGCCACCCACAGCTGTGTGCTAATCAAAGTAAATAAGGTACAAAGAGATTTCATACATTAATTCTTCTCAAATGAAGAGACTTAAAGAAACAGTCCAAAAATTTAAATGGTCATTATTCACTTGTTGTTCCAAATCCATATGACTTTTCTATCTTCCAGACGATTTTAAATAATGTACCGGTCATTGTTTCCAAGCAATTACAATAGGGACTAGAGCTTTCAAGCTTCAAAAAGTGTGAAAAGTAATCATATCATTGATAAGTCTCCATTCATTATAAATGGTTTGAAAAGAGCAATTAGTACATCATTCATAATTTCCCTGCATGGAAGAAAGAAAGTATTACAGGTTTGGAATGGCATACGATTGAGTGAATGACGAAATCATTTTTATTTGAATTTGGAATATATTAAGCAACTTTTGCATAGATTTTTGCCCGGTTTCCAGTATGGAGTAGCCGAAAATAAGAGCCAGTCGGCAAATTTTGGGGAGCCGCAGACATTTCACAGAAATTCGTATAGTGTACGATCGACATAGACTGCAATTTTTCGTTTCAGATTTGGATTCCATCCAGTCCGAGGATATAAAACATGTTGTGAGCCGATTTTAGTACACATACAGTTTTCATGTGTCACTCCTGTTTGAGTTTGTTGTTCAGAATGACTTTAAAGTCTGTTATTGTGTGATCTCCAGTTGTTTAGTGTATGATGCCTAGTCTTTGTCTGTAACAGTTTACAAAGTCAGCAACTATATGTCGCCTATTGTTTTAGTCATATTGTGTATTCCAGCCTTTAGGTGTGCTTCACAATCTGCACATAATTGACGAGCTCTGAATGTAGTTTGAGTGATTTGATCACAAAACGTTTTGGAATCCAGTACACATATGTATTTAGCATTGTCCACTTGTGATTAGATCACCCAAGATAAATCATAATACCAGGTGTAAGAAGAGACTAAAAGATACAATAGGCTTAGGTAGTGGTGTCCTCACCTGGTAGACGTGTGCAATGAGCTGATCTGGGCTACTGAACTCCAGGGAACAAAGAGGACATGCAAAACTGCTCCCCTGGTCTGTCCCCTCCTCGTTCTCCTAACAGACATAATGCACCAACAAACAGTTAAAACGATGAGTAACAAGACTTATAGTCTGAAATGTAGTGTAATTTTTTTTATATAGTATGATTGAAGTGACTATTCCCTGAAACTGCTAATGACTGTAGCTGTGGATGACTTATGCAGCACTTGAGTGGTGTGGCAGACAAATGAATGCATAAGCCCTCGTGACTCATTCCAACTGTCGTGTCAACTGGGTTGCTATAGAGCCATGAGTCACTCTACAAAAATATCTATCGACCCTTAAAGATGCCAGCAATCGTTGAGGTGGGATGACAGAATTCTGTCATGCTTTTCACCTTAAAATTGTATTAAGTCACACAGACTTGTAAATAAAACGGCAATCATGTACAGTGGCCTTTAAAAATTCCACATGCTTCATTTATTCAATTCTCAATTCAGAATGGAAATCTGCTACAAACAGGCATTTGATTAATCTTTGGAGTAGCTCAGTTATCACTGGAGTAGCTCAAAAACAACAAAAAAAAGTTGTCCCCACCCCTGCGTTAACGGAGTTAAATATTTTTACCGCTGTTAAACTGGAGAAATTAGTTGCCTGCGTTAACGCTAATTTTGACAACTCTATATATATATATATATATATATATATATATAATATCCAATGATAGCTTCTTCCAAGCTCTCTTCTCAATCCAGGGACCCACTTTATATTAAGTGGCCTTAACTACTAGGCCTATGTACTTGCGTTAAAAAATAAGTACATTGTACTTATTGTGTTCATACTGTATTGCAAAATACTTTTGCTGCTATTGAGGTGGGATACGGGTAAGGTTAAGGACAGGTTTGGTGGTATGGGTAGGTTTAAGGGTGGGTTAAGGAGTAAGGGATGAGTCAATTATAAATGTAATTACAGAAATTATTTACAGATGTAATTACATAAAGGTATTTTTAAAAAGTAAGTACAATGTAAAAACATGTATGTGTATACAATAAGTGCATTGTACCAAATGATTAATTTAAATGTAAGTACATAGTAGTTAAGGCCACTTAATATAAAGAGGGACTGAAAAAAATGTATTTGTACTTTATGCTTAGATGAATGGGCCAGAAATCACATGAAAAGCATGCAAAGCTGGTAAAAAAAATCTCCAAAATATTGTGAAAAACGAGTCCACAAAATACTAAAATATGGGGAATGTTTTAATGTAATTTGAAACACATTTGTGACCATGGACCACAAAACCAGTCATAAGGGTCAATTTTTTTGCAATTGAGATTTATACATAATGAATAAATAAGCTTTCCATTGATGTATGGTTTGTTATGATAGGACAATATTTGGCCGAGATACAACTATTTGAAAATCTGTAATCTGAGGGTGCAAAAAAATAAATAATAATAATAATATTGAGAAAATCGCCTTTAAAGTTGTCCAAATGAAGTTTTGTGGTCCAGGGTCACATTTTACAATCTGTTTGTGAATGATTAAAATTAAGAACTGATCAAAGCTGATTTTTTTTTTTCTTTTCAAGTTATTTTACAGTAAAAACAGTTGTCTGAGCATTGTCTGTGACAATGTTGTCATGCAAATCATGATAACAGAAGAATGCAAGATAAACACACAACCATCTACTTCTAACATTAAACATCTGTCACTCACCTCCTTGACGTCATCATGTAGTATGGGGCCGTGGCTGCTCTTATTACTCATCATGCTGTCATCAGCAGAGGCATTTGAGGAGTCGTCTTTATCAAAATCACTATCACCGTCGTCTGGCAGCATAGGGGAAAAAAGTTAGTTCATAATGTTATCAATGGCTCCATCACAGGTCACCTTGCCTTTATGTCTCAACACTGCAATCACAAAACAATCACAGCTGTCTCTCTGTTTTTAATATTTTATGTGCAGTAAGCAAATCTATAAATAAATTCAAAGACAGACATGCAGTCGTGAGTAGTGTGTGTCTCACCACTTGTGCTGTCTTGCTCTTCAGGTTCCTGTGAGTTGTTGCTATGGCATTCCCCGTCCTCAATGAAGTCATCTCTAGCATCCATCTCAAAAGTGTGCTGCGGGCCGGACAACCCAGTCGTGTGAAAAGGCCCTGTAAGTGACATGGTCACTGAGAATGCCACTATATTTCAAACTAGTTTTTAAGGGCTTTTCTGCTTTGGTTGCTAGAGCATTGCTATGTGGTTTCTAGGAGAGTTTTGTGCATTTCTGGGTGATTGCTAGGTTGTTGCATACAGGCCCAACTCAGGTCGCTTCTTAAATATAAGACTTTGTTGTTGTTTTGTCGCCAAATATATAGATACGATTTGTGGCATCATTCATGACTGTTATTACTTTCTGCTTTTTCAACCAAAAATTGCAATTCTTTCATGTTGTTCTAAACCTGTGGAACACAAAAGACATTCAGCAGAATGAATCAGTATTTTTTGCCCATACATTAAAATTCAGTGGGGGGGTCCAGTGTTGTTTAGACCCCAATGTTCTTCAAAATATCCCTTTTTTGTGGCTTGCATGAGTGATCGTGCAAACACCCATTCATATTGTAAAATATTATTTAGGCCAAACTGCTAGAGGGAACTAGGCCAAAAGGTGGCTACAGGAAATACCTGTATTCTCACAACAAATAATGTCACGGGTATCTAGTGTAAATCTGAACTGTGGTTGTTTCTATGAAGAAGAAAAAAATAGTAACACTTTCTATGAAGGCTGTATTTCTAATGCATTATACGGGTATTCTTAAGGCATTATAATGCATGCATACTGCCTTATGTATGATGACTTAAAATAACACACAATGAACACGTTATATCCACTTAAAGGGATACTCCACCCCAAAATGAAAATTTTGTCAATCACCATGTCATTCCAAACCTGTAAAAGCTACGTATCCGTCTGGCGCGGCTGACACAGAAGAGCGTACAAAAAGTATTCTCGTCGCTTCATAACGTTACGGTTGAACCACTGATGGCAGATGGACTATTCTGATTGTCTTTCATACTTTTCTGGACCTTGACAGTGTAATTTACTTGGCAGTCAATGGGACAGTCACAAGCCTCCCGGTTTTCATCCAAAATATCTTAAATTGTGTTCCGAAGACGAACAACGCTTTTACGGGTTTGGAACGACATGGTGATTAATGACAAAATTTTCATTTTGGGGTGGAGTATCCCTTTAAGTAATGTATTATAAGTGTCATATCTAGACATAGAAATCTTGTAAACATCCAAAGGCTTTATAATGTGGTCATATGTATATTTGTCTGCTATAAATTAATAAATACAAATGGAATCTTCTTTAAACAGCCATGAATGGGTTATATGACAAATTTGCTTTAAACATTTTTATTATTAAGGCACGAAAACCACATTACCTTCTTTCAGATGTAAAGGAGTTACCAGTGAGCTTAAACTAATGCACTCAGATACTTTTTATAAATATAATAACAAAGTAACTATATTGTGAATAAGATACACACTTGTAACACTCTCCCTTAAATTGCAAGTATCACTGTTTAAATAATAATGATTATAGCAAAGATTTTTAAGTTCCATGTTCTGTCTTCTATTATTCATTCACTTATCCCATTGTTTTAGGTTTTTGCTGTGGTGTCCAATCTGTATCGAGATATTTTAGTTATCGCATCAAAGTCATAATTTTGGTATCGTCACAACACTAATTATGTTACTATTATTCATGAGATAATACAACATATTATTGGGATCTTTGGGACAGATCTTACAATAAGGTTCCATTTGTAACCATTATTTAACGGCATCGGTTAATATGAACCAACAACGGAAATAGCATTAAGATTTACCAATACATTATTAAAATCAAAAGATGTATCTGTTAATATCATTTTATGGATCTGAGCGGACATAAACTAACAACAAACAGTTGCATTTTTTAACTAACAAATAACTTAAGTCTTATAAACATTGTAATAAAGCAATAAGCCCCAAGCCGTGGTTTACAGTGAATTTATAACAGCTAAGGGGAGTTGTTAGGCACGACACGAAGCAAATCAACTCTCAACCAATCAGAATCAAGGACCGGAACTATCCGTTTTATAACAAGTGTTTTGCTCCCTGTTAGTCAATGCATTAAATAATGTTTAACTAATGGAACCTTACTGTAAAGTGTTACGGTTTTTTATGCAAGCGTTATAATTGAATACCCTTATAATGCATTATCAATACAGGCTTCATAGGAAAGTGTCACCAAAAAGAATATTAGATGTACATCAAAAAGCCCAAATCGGAATAATTCTCACTTCAATTTTGAATTTCAAAGAAAAGACGGACCGCATCAACAACAGAGGCAACAGAGGCCAGAGCTGCGGTGGCGTGTGATCAGAACAATAGTTGATGCTGCATTAACACATTACAAACACGCACACTCCACCTCACGCTCACCAACCCCCACGTTACACGCTCAACTCAACATGCACTGCAGTCCCAGAGGAAACAGCCTGCATCTCCTGGGCGCCGAGTCCGTGCCTCTAATGTAAGAATCATCTTCTCCAGAAGCACTCCATACGCCCACACGGAGCTGCTTTTCCCTCTGCATGCATCCCATTACTCCAAACACCTTTTGCAAAGCTGCTTTAATCAGTAACATGAACGGCAACCAGCATACGAATAAAACCAGGTTTTATGCTTTCAAGTGCCAGTGCAACACGATACAGTGTTCTGGAAGGTTGATGAGGTGTTGCTATCGTCTTCATAATTGTTGTAAGCGTGTTGCTATGTGGTTGCTGGAGGGCCAAGTCTCAGATATTTCGACCTGTTTTATCGAGTCTGATCTCTCATAAAAGTAACGCCTGATTTGGCAAATTGACCTTCTGATAATACTGTTTCCAGGTCCAAATCTCTACTCCATTTCAACAGCCGTGTATATTATTTTATACCTGTAAGCTAAACTTCTCAAAAACTCAATGTTTGAATGATTCAGAAAAGATGAATCACTCTCTGGCCAATTTAGATTTTGGAGATCAAGGTTAGAACCATGATTTATGGGTATTACTACAGCACACGGTGAGTGTACATTAGTAGTGGTGAAAATAGGTTGTTTCATTAAGATACAAATTGACACTGATTTTCTAAACCAGCGATACAATATTTGCCGACACCTCAAAACTTGCTGCAATATGATTACATTTTGATAACATTCAGGGGCCTGCGATTGATACACTGATATTATGTACCTATTTTACGCAACCAGTTACAATTTCTTTAACTCACAAATGCAACCAAAATATAACATGGACATTTAATTGAACTCCTGTATCTAACTGGACATCAATCCACACAAGATCATCAATCGTCTGATGACAGCTCTTCATTGGCTTGAACAATGACAAGTCTTTCAGTCTTCTATGCTCTTGTATCCCTATTAGGACACAGACAACAAAATAAGGTACTCCACTTGTTCAAAAAATAAATTTATACAGAAAAAGAAATCTTTTTATGCATTGCTTAGTCATTTGATCAATGCATCGATTTTTTCTTTCTTCTAAAATCCTTATAGGGATATAGTTGACCCAAAAAATGTCGTCATGTAGGCTACTCAGCACCCTCATGTCATTCCAAACCTCTGTGACTTTCTGCTAAACACAAACAAAAGATATTTTGAAGAATGTTGGTAACCAAACAGTTCTAATGACTCTTAATTTCCTTTGTAAACTCCTGAAAATAAAGGTTATTTTTTTTGCCATCAATGGTTCCATGAAGAACCTTTAACATCCATGCACTCTTAAATATAAGGCTTTCAAAGGATGTTTTTGCAGCAGTGCCATAGAAGAACCATTTTGGGTTCCACAAAGAACATTTCAGTGAACAGTTCTTAGAGGAACCATGATTTTCTTTCTTTTTAATAATCTAAAGAACCTTTTTTGCAAGGCAAATTTTCTGCAATGGAAAGGTTTTATGGAACCATCAATGCCAATAAAAAAAACTTTACTTTTTGAGAGTGTGGAATCTTTCCATTCCACAAAAGGTTCTCTTTAGTGGAAAAGGTTTTTTAGAACCAAAAGTAGTTCTTTTATGGCATCGTTGTGAAAACTCTTTGTTGGAACCGTTGTTTTTAAGAGTGTATGTACAAAAAAAGAAAATCTGAGACATTGGTCAAAAGAAGAACGAATGGAACGACATGAAGGTGAGTAAATAATGACCAAATTTTCATTTTTGGATGAACTATCCCATAACTCTATATAAGCAATAGTAATAGTGATGTTTGCCTCTGATCAAGGCAGCTGATAAAAACTATTAGACCAAGTTCGAAGTGGACTACAATCTGAGGGGCCGTTTACACGACAACGTTTTCAGCCAAAAACTGGAAACTTTTTATGCGTTTTGCCTGTTCGTTTACACGACGATGGCGTTTTGGGGACTGAAAACGCATATTTTTGAAAACGGGTTTCAAAGTGAAAGTTTTTGAAAATGCCACCGTTATCGTTTCCGTGTAAACACCCAATACGGGAATCTTTGAAAGCGGTGACGTCATGCGTAGTGTGTTAGGTATGTAGACATGCGCAGTACGTGTCGATTTTAAAGGCAAGCATGAACAAACATACACAACAATGGCGGAGTACATGGTACTGTTGTTGCTGCTCAAGAGTTTGCTAACGCTTCTTCAGCAAAGTGTGGATTTACTTCACAATATTACAACCAACAGCGGAGATGCATCATATACAACATATAATCGTCACTTCCCTACAGGTACTGTTTACTAACAAGGTGACAGCGCCAACTACTGGCCTGGCATAAGTACTACAGCAATTTTGGCCGTTTTCACGGATATGTGTAAACACGAATGGTTTTGAAAACGTTGTCGTGTATACGTGAAACTTTTTAAAAACGCGAGGGAAAAACTTTTCCGTTTTTGACTACATCATTGTCGTGTAAACGTAGCCTGATTTTATAATTTCATTGTGTAGAACTTCAGCAAGCTTTAGTCTACATCTGAGCTCAGACCGTTTCAGGCAAGCCTCCACCACATGTTGTTTTCCCATCTGAAAAACAACAGCCGACGGATGTAATATTTTACATCAACTACTAATCACCAAAGGTTGTCAAGAGTTTGCACCCCATACTTTCCCAGCATCCTCAGGTGGTTTCAAAGGGTGTTTGGGAGTATCTACAAGGACAGAAGACTTGCATGAGGGATATCTGCGTTAAACTATTAACGGATACAACAGAGCGGCTTCACGGCAGTCAGCCTGTGATTGATGTAAGCGCGTTTCCCATCCCCCTCTGCCAGTTCTGTCTGTACATCTGTCTCTCCACCCTCCCTCCGTCTTCTCCTCGCTCCCCCCTCTGTGATGTTATCTCTGTGTGTCTGTAGGCAGGCGGTGACGCAGTGTCTGTCTGAATCCAGACAAAGAGACAAACTCATCAGCCAACAGACACAAGAGAAAGGCTGAAGTTAGTGGAGGGGGTGGGTGGGAACAAAACAGACAAAAAGAGACAAACTTAACTCGGATGCCAAACAATGAGAGCACTCCTGAATTCAAACCATCCCACAGCCTTTACAAAACCACCAACCCAACAGAAAACAGTACAAATCCTGAGAACGGGCAGGGGACGGGGCCAAAGCACGCCGTCTGGTTTGGTGGGCTGGAAGAATAGTCATAGACGGACATCAGATAAACCCAGACAAGCAATTCAGGCCTCACTTTGCCTAATTGACAAAAGCCAGGCATGATGGAAGAACAAGATCAGTCATACACGTTCCCATGGAGTAACGTTTCCCATAGTGCGCCCCACTGTGTCTGCTAGAGTCCCTATTTAATAATAGTTTAAAAATAGATTGAGTAACATTTTAGTGCTGTCAAACGATTAATCGCGATTAATCGCATCCAAAGTAAAAGTTTTTGTTCACACAATATATGTGTGTACTCTGTATATTTATTATGCATATATTATATATATATATATAACTTTCTTTGGTCTTCAGTCATGTGACACCTTAATAAATTATCAGTTTTATACACCGCAAATTGCTATAAAAGAAGCATGACCTGTCAATAACACTGTCTGCATCGTAGCCAACTCACAACCTTTCAAAACATCTCTGGAAATTGTGCAAATCAACCTAAATAAAAGATTATTGTCAACAGTCGCATTGCATTATATTATGGAGTATGTGTCCCCCAATAAAGACAGAATCACAAACAAATATATGCTAATTATGTATATAATAACATATAATTATGAAGTTACTGGGTTTGGATGAGAGCCTCGACATATTTGAAGCTGAACTGAATCATGAGGTCTTGGTGATCATGACCATATGTTTACCTGCTCTTTGGAATATTTAATGCTGATTGATCAAAAGTGAAATTCAATAACATTTCTAAATAATAATGGCACGAAGGGTAACACTGTATAACTCAGACTACTCATTCAGGAAACCCGTTTCTTACATTAATGTGATAGTGTTCTGTCACTCCACTGTCTCTACAATAAAATAATCTTAAAAATTATATAAAGTTAAAATCAATTTCATGTCCATGTATTTATTCATTGGTAAGTAACTGTGTAATAAGCAATATAATGTAAGTCTGACAGTCAAACTAGAGGAATATTTATAATGAATGACTTTTATCTCTTACATTTAAATGTTTTATTTTGTGCATTACTACAAAAGATATCAGTTAAGATCTTTGTTCCCACTTATGAAATTATGAAAACGAGTGAGTGAAAAATGAGTGAAAATTAAAAAAAAAAAAAAAGTAGGGAAAAAGCGATATTTTTGCACACATAGATAAATAGGTGGATAGATAGTTATTATGCATATATAAATACACACACATACAGTATATATTTTGAAAATATTTACATGTATATATTTATATTAATTTAATTTATTTTACAGTAGATACTGGAAACTATACTAAAAAACGGAGTAGGATTTGCTTTGAAACTATTTTTGCTAGTTAATTTCACAAAATATTACAAAGAAACCGCAAGTAAAAAATTTTTTTCTTTTTACAATGGATAGGTAAGTAGGTGGATAGATAGATAGATGGATGGATGGATGGATGGATGATGGATGGATGGATGGATGATGGATGGATGGACGGACGGATGGACGGATGATAGATAGATAGGTAGATGGATGGATGGATGATGGATGGATGGATGACGGATGGATGAATGGATGGATGGATGGATGGATGGATGGATGGATGGATGGATGGATGGACGGACGGATGGATGGATGATAGATAGGTGGATGGATGGATGGATGGATGACAGATAGATAGGTGGATGGATGGATGGATGATAGATAGATCGATAGATGGATGGATGGATGATAGATAGATGGGTAGATAGATGGATGGATGATAGATGGGTAGATAGATGGATGGATGATAGATAGATAGATGGGTAGATAGATAGATGGATGGATGATGTATGGATAGGTAGATAGATGGATGATGGATGGATGATGGATGATAGATGGATGGATGGATGGATGATAGATAGATAGATAGATAGATAGATAGATAGATCGATAGATAGATAGATAGATAGATCGATAGATAGATAGATAGATAGATCGATAGATAGATAGATAGATAGATCGATAGATAGATAGATAGATAGATCGATAGATAGATAGATAGATAGATCGATAGATAGATAGATAGATAGATCGATAGATAGATAGATAGATAGATCGATAGATAGATAGATAGATAGATCGATAGATAGATAGATAGATAGATCGATAGATAGATAGATAGATAGATCGATAGATAGATAGATAGATAGATCGATAGATAGATAGATAGATAGATCGATAGATAGATAGATAGATAGATCGATAGATAGATAGATAGATAGATCGATAGATAGATAGATAGATAGATATCTCTATAGGCAAGCCAATTAGGAATTATTGTCAGTTCTCTATAACAGAATTCAAGTTATCAAACATTATAGATGTGTGGTAGAAAATCTTTTTTCTTTTAGTTCTTGAAAGCATGTCCAGAAAAAGAGTACAGGCTTCATGCAGACTAGTTGCAATAGTTTGCAGGAGGTGGTTTATATTTAATAAAGACCATTATTTATGGCTTATGTAGGGTTTCAGTCCTTCGCGAGAATATGTGACCCTGGAGCACAGAACCAGTCATAAGTAGCACAGGTATATTTGTAGCAATAGCCATAATATGCATTGCTAAGAACTTCATTTGGACAACTTTAAAGGCAATTTTCTCAATATTTAGATTTTTTGCACCCTCAGATTCCAGATTTTCAAATAGTTGTATCTCAGCCAAATATTGTCCCATCCTAACAAACCATACATCAATGGAGAGCTTATTTATTAATCAGCTTTCAGATTATGTATAAATCTCAATTTCAACAAATTGACCCTTATGACTGGTTTTGTGCTCCAGGGTCACATATCACAGTGCCATTATCAGACGTAAGTGAATGTGTGAGGATATATTCGCTTCGTGGAGTCAAACAACAAACACCAAGGGTTCAAGTAGCTATATAATCGCGTGTCTATCCTCTAGAGTAGGTTTTACACCAGCTGATAACGTTACTGTGAACATATTGTGATGAGAGTTTGTGAACGCCTGGCCTCTGGCTGCGGATGTGAGACTCAACGAAAGCAAGCACACTGTATCTCCTCCAGGAGACACAAAAAAAGCCATTTTCATTTTACGTAAATGAAAAGTGTTTACAATACCTGGGATACCTACAATTCACTTTGAAAGGGTTGGTCTGTTTGCGTCTTGACATATTATCCCCCGCTCCCGGATGAAAACAAGTCGAATCTCTTCTTTGATCCGACTGATGTTCAGCCAAAGAAAAAAAAAAAAAAAAGGGTACATGTACTAAAGCAGACAACAATCCCGTAAACGAAAAAGAAAAAGATGAGGGGAGATGATGTGAAAGCCTGCGCCACTGTAGCCGGGCAAATACACTGCAGAGACTCTTCACCTACATGCATTTTTTTTTTTTGTCAAGCGATGAGCTGAGAAGAATGACTAATGTTATCATATACCTCCCACTGTCCATCAACGAAACACCAATGTTCCTATAGCGGGCGCTCTGCGGCTCAGAAACCCACTTTTGCATTGAATGCAATGCACGTGTTTTGTTTATTTAGAAACATGTAAACGTGGTAATTTATATATTCTACTTTGAATGGTTTTTACTTGATATACAAAGCGAAGTAGGTCGCAGCATGTTCTGCAGAATGATTAAATAGCTAATTTTTCGAGTCAACGCTGATTGGTTCCTCCTCAACAGCGCTGAGAAAAGTAACACTCGCCACCTGATGTTGAGCCAATCGCTCAACGATACAAAGCTGAGAAACACTGAAAATGTTATATATTTCTACTCAGTGGCTGCTATATTTAATCTATTATAAATCTCTTTTTTTAATAAAAATTATTTTATAAACACAAAAAACTTGCGCTGATAGTGAATCTGTTTGTTGCGCGTGTGATTGGATAGCAGTTCGCGTAATGCAAGTAAAATGTTTTTTTGAGGAGCCAAACAGTTTTGTAGGCCTTGAGGGGCCTCACCGCATCACCGCATTTGACCAGTTAGCGATCACTTCCCAGCCCTCTTTTAAACACGGTTTTTGCAGATGACCTTTCTAGCAGTTTTTTAATTTCTGGAAGCCTGTTTGGTTTGTAAAGGAAACAACGAGACGCATTGTGGGATACACATACGTGGATGTGGAGGACAATGCTGTTTTTTCGTCAGTTACATGTATTAAAACAACAAATCTATCTATCTATCTGATTCAAAAAGTTAGGTACATTTAGCTTTATTAATACTAAACCATAAGATTAGATGTTGCCTAGTATTCATTCAAATGAAAATAAAATAAAACTTTTTATATGTGACTACTTCTCAGTCACCCAAATGCAATAATTAGGGCTATAATAATATGTTTGGTAGGCCTACTATTTGTTACTGTATGGCAAACTATTATTTGTGAAGAGTACAAGCAATTCTTGATTTTTTTTTCTTTTCTTTTAGATTCTGCAGAGGTATATTTTAGGCTTCACTGAAAACAATTAATAAGCTAACTGAAACAATGAGGACAGTGACGAGGCAGTACTATAGTACTATAGTATAAAGTGTGCCATTTTATCTGAAATCTGCAGTCAAGAAATAAAAAAGATGTCCCGGCGAGTAAATTGCAACTGACTTGACACCGACAACTTACTATAAAAAGAATATGCACAAAACACGAGTAATTTGCTTAACCCATGTGCGACCTTTTGGACATTTTTGTCCTTTTCAGTTTAGTTTTTCAGGATCATTTTGCCGGTGTTATTGCCAACTGCATAAATTGTGGCACAGGTGTGTATTTTTATTGGAATTGTACTATTTCACTTCCATTTCCTTTAATAAATCTGTTTTGCACTAGGTACAAAAAATGGTTCCTCTCAGGACCTTAAGGACAAAAATGTTCCCATTGAAACCCATTAAAACTGCTATTTTTAATCGCAGTGCCATTCAACTGTAAAATTATGCCATTTTTGTTGATAGGCTTTCATTATATTGGCAAGGCTTTAAAATTTAATTTTTTACTACTTTTTACCAGATGGTGCCATTTTTTCAGGTTTGACCTATAAAGAAAATACTCGCTTTATTTCTGTTTTCTGCTTCTGCATATTATAGAGCCAATTGGATAAATAATGCAGCTATAATTGTGCAGGTGTGGATGTGAGAGTGTGGTTTGTATGTGTGTCATAAAAAAAAAAAATTGTGAGTGTGTGCGTGTGTTCTTGTAATATTTGAGAGAGAAAAGCTCTACTGCAAATCACAAATCCAATCACTGTGTGCACCAGCAGAGTTTTGCTGGCATCTAATGGGGAAAATTTGGTACTGCGCCCAAACAAAATCTTACTGAAAGCTCATTTTTTGAGATATCAACCTCAAATTTGGAACACAACTTGTTTAGATTTATGGCTTTGGTTTTCTAGCAGGTATAGAGTTCAACATGTTTCATAAAATATATATTTGATATAAAACATCGTTCATAAATCATTTTCATAAACCTAAACATCTAGAACTTTTTTTTTTTGGTTTCACTTTTTCAACTTTTTTTTACTTCAGTAATAATCTGCCTTTAAAATGAGACCAAACTTAACTCTGTGCTCACAAGCTTCAGATTTTTATGACATGGACATTTTCGTCCACTATGGACCTATATGTAACTTTTTTTAATTGACGCACGAGGGTTAAATGAATACGAAATTTAAATGGAAAATAAGAGATGCAAGCAATTAGAATGAAGAAAGACTGTAATCATTGCTAATAATCCTTAATATAATTATTTACAGGCTAATAAAATGTTATAATAATTATTATTATTATATAGAAAGATGCTGTAATAAACAAGCTCAATTCAGTTGATTCTCTTCACATACATGAGATACATAGGTAGAAAAACAGAGAAACAGCTGTCAACTTAATACTTACAAAAGATAATAGATACGCCTAATTAATAACAGAATAATTTGCCTTGGCTTCAGAGCAGTGACAATATAAAGGCCAATTATTTGACTTTGGAAACAATATGCTGGCTTTATAATACCATGCTTTATTTTCTCACACAATATGTGCTGTGAAAAAGCTGTTTTTTATATTTTAGGAAGATGGGCCATCATATTTGGGGGTCCTTGGCATCTGATGCTGTTCTGTAGGGACTGATCGTTGCGACACTTGTTAGAAACCTCTGTAGTGCCACACTTCACCGCAGATGTACTCCTCCTCAGCCCGACCGAGAGACGCATGGCTTACTAAAGAGATCTAGTTTAGTGACTCCCGAAGGAAGTGCCTCAACACTGACTGCCACGAGGTGAACCGCAGCACGCCTCTTCCGGGCAAGTCTTCCGCGGGATTGACACGTAGACTAGCGTTAAAACACAACTACACTTCTCTGACATAAAACGAGTTAAAACGTGCATAGTATCACGATTTATATAATGAGGTGGCTAGAGCCTCTTGTTAAATGTGACCCTGGAGCACAAAACCAGTCATAAGTAGCACGGGGTGTATTTGTGCACGATACATTGTATGTGTCAAAATGATCAATTTTTCTTTAATGCCAAAAATCATTAGGATATTAAGTAAAGATCATGTTCCATGAAGATATTTAGTACATTTCCTACCGTAAATATATAAAAACGTAATTTTTGATCCGTAAAATGCATTGCTAAGAACTTAATTTGGACTACTTTAAAGGCGATTTTCTCAATATTTTTTCAAACAGATTTTCAAATAGTTGCATCTCAGCCAAATGTTGTCCTATCCCAACAGAGCTTATTTATTCAGCTTTCAGATGATGTCTAAATCTCAATTTAAAAAAAGTGACCCTTATGACTGTTTTTTGTGCTCCAGGTTCAATAAACCACCTGGCTATGCAAGCCATTTGACCGCATTTTTAAACTCATATTCTCTTTTTAACGCATGAACACGGTAATAAATGTTGGCGATGCTCATAAACACAAGCTCACAGCATCAATCACTACTAGATTCTAGAGCAGGTCGCACCTTTTTACATCCGCATTTGAAGTTCTCTGACCATCAGTCATGTATCCCTCCGCCTGCGGTAGAAGTGCTGAGGCTGGGGCCGCCGCCATTTTGAATGTCTGGTCCGTTCCTCCTTCCGTCGATTGAGAAGATTGCACTTGTTTTCTGGTATCGTAACGGCTGGTGAGTGGGAGCTCGTTTTAACCGACTAAACGACTTCGTATATGACCGTCGAGCTCGGTGCTGTCAAGCCGCTCGGTTTTATTCGCGTTTGCTCGGGTTGACTCTGGGCTTCATTGGAAGTGGAGCGCACAGGCTAATGCTAAAGCCTGTGCACCGGGACGCTGTCATAAGCTGGGGCGCTAACGGTCGCTCAACTATCACTCAACTATCACTCGAGCTGTTCTTTCACGGGCGGCGTGAAATCACAGTTAAACTGTGAACGTTTCAATGGGTTTAAGGTAGAGGTGTGTGTTTAATCCTCCGTCAAATCGACGCTCTATTTGAGGCCCGGCTAGACTCCAGTCAGTTAGCAACGGACACAACGCAGCACTTCATTCAGAGGAATAACAGAGGTATTTATTGCAATTTAAAGGGCTTAGAAACGAGTATTAATACTCGTGAAGAGAACTGAAATGTACTTGTGTTTTACCACAGCTTAACGTCCCCCCATCTCACTGTTTATCATTTAGCTTAGCACTAATGGCTTGACGTTACAGCGCAAGGGGATGGGTCCAGAAACATCATTCAGAACATTTAACAATCTCTCCTAATGTTACAGAATCAACAGTCCAGGTGTTGTATGAGGAAATGTTGTGGAGGTAAAGGTGAAGAATGCGAGGTGTATGATGCCACTTGTGTGTTTTAGGCTTGTCTAGACACCAGGTGGTTTCGAGGGAGATGTTAAATCATTCTTGTTGTTGTGCTCTGTATAGTCCTCTATATATCAGTGCTGGCTAAAATGGTGTCTGTTTGTCATGTCTTTACACCTGTTGGTTTGTGGTGAACATATGAAAGGCGAGTTGGCATCTCTTCCTTGTGATTGTGGAGTAAGGTCACAGAAATAAAGGAAGTGAGCGTCTGTAAACGTGTCCTCACAGTCCCTGCTGCAGTTTGCATGATTCCTGGCTTAGATTTGCATTCTCTGTCCACTCCAAGAGTTTTTTATTTTCTTTCTGTAAAGGAATTATTTTAAAGCTGTAACTAACCATCTTTTTATAATCAATATTTTTTTTTCGATTAGTTGACTCATCTAGCAATTTCTTACAATTAATATATTTGACCCTGGAGCACAAAACCAGTCTTAAGTCGCTGGGGTATATTTGTAGCAATAGCCAACAATACACTGTATGGGTCAAAATTATACATTTTTTTTAATGCCAAAAATCATTAGGATATTAAGTAAGGATCATGTTCCATGAAGATATTTTGTAAATTTCCTACCGTAAATATATCAAAGCTTAATTTTTGATTAGTAATATTAGGCATGGGCCGGTATGAGATTCTGACGGTATGATAACCTTAGATAAAAAAAATATCACGGTATTGCGATTACAGCTCTAAAATATGTTACTTTTAAATGTCTGGGTAAAAAAAACGACTTTTTTTTCTCCACTGAACACATTTTATTTTTAAGAAACATATAGAACATTTTGGAACAATAAACATGTCAGGCTAAATAATTAGAATAAATAATTAAAATCTCTTAATTAAATGCAGTCAGTCACTTAAGTGAGCCTATACCTGCAGCTCAACAATAATCAGAACATAAATTATTTTCTGTAAAAAAAAAATCCCTATAAAAAAATAAATAAAATGCAGTCACTTAAGTGAGCCTAAACCTGCAGCTCAACAATAATCAGAACATAAATAAATAATTTTCTGTAAAAAAAAAATCCCTATAAATGAAAAAAAAAATGCAGTTACTTAAGTGAGCCTAAACCTGCAGCTCAATAATCAAAAATATAATAAAAACATAATTTCTGTAAAAAATAAAATAAAAAAATTAATAGAAAATGCATGCATAAACCTGCAGTTCAACAAGGTTTTTGGAGACATGCTCGCTTTCTACACATTCATCTTTCAGTCCAAGTTATGATGCAGGAATGTTCACCTTTCCCGGATTAAGTTTGGAGCAGTGAGGTACGAGGATGTGTGCACATACACACGTGAGGAAAGAGAGAGCGCGAGTGTCACACACACACACACACACACAGTCTCTCCGTATGTAACAGATCGGCCAGGCTCCACCACCACCCAATCACAACGATCCCTCTCACCTGAGTTCTGAGCACCTGC